AAAAATGAAGAGAACTACCAACAAAAACAAAGAGAACTAACCCCAACTACCAAAAATGAAGAGAACTACCAACAAAAACAAAGAGAACTAACCCCAACTACCAAAAATGAAGAGAACTACCAACAAAAACAAAGAGAACTAACCCAAACTACCACAAATGAAGAGAACTACCAACAAAAACAAAGAGAACTAACCCAAACTACCACAAATGAAGAGAACTACCAACAAAAACCAACAAAAATGGAAAGAATTTCAATAAAAAAAACTTCATATGAAGAGAACTACTCACAAAAACCACCAAAAATGGAGAGAACTACCCAACAAAACTACCAAAAATGAAGATGTAAACACTAACAGATGAAAAGTACTCCCCAAAAATGAAGAGGACTGCTCATCAAAACCACCAAATTTAAGAGAACTAACCAAAACTATATCAAAAATAAAGAGAACTACTCAACAAAACCAACAAAAATGGAGATAACTAACCAACAAAACAACCAATAATGGAGAAAACTACCCAAACCACTGAAAATGGAGAATTGCCCAACAAAACAAACATAAATAAAGGCAACTACCCACAAAACAACCAATAATGGAGAGAACCAACCAAAACTATCAAAAATGGAGAGAATTACCCAACAAAACAACCAATAATGGAGAGAACTAACCAAAAATCACCCAAATTAGAGAGAATTACCCAACAAAACAATCAATAAATGGACAGAACTACCCAAAACCACCAAAAATGGAGAGAATTTCAACAAAAACACTACAAATATAGAGAACTACTCACAAAAACCAGCAAAAATAGAGAGAACTACCCAACAAAACAACCAATAATGGAGAGAATCATAACCAAAAACCAAAAAAAAAAAAAATAGAGAGAACTACCTACAAAACAACCAAAAATGGAGAGAACTAACCAAAACTATCCAAAAATAGAGGGAAATACCCAACAAAACAACCAAAAATAAAGATAAATACTCAACAAAAAAAAACAAAGTAAAGATAACTACCCAACAAAACAACCAATAATGGAGAGAACTAACCAAAACAACAACAAAAAAAATTAAGAGAACTAACCAAAACCATCAAAATTAGAGGGAATTACCCAACAAAACAAACAATAATGGACAGAACTAACCAAAACAACCAAAAATGGGAAAAGTACTCATACTAACACCACAAATGAAGAGAACTATTCAACCAAAAACATTTTAAAATTAATCGTACTCACCAAAATCAACAACAATGAAGATAACTACTCACAAAAATCACTAAAATGGAGAACCACTCACCAAAAACACACACACACACACACACACACACACACACACACACACACACACACACAAAAAAAAAATAACACATTTACAACAAAACCACCAAAAGGGAGAAGTACTCACAAAAACAGCACAGATAAGGAGAACTCCTCCACCAAAACCCTCATGATGAAACTAGTGCAGTTCTGTCCATTAGTTCCCGGTGTCAGTGACATAAGAGCAGCAGGGAAACTCAATAAAACACACAGGCCAAGCTTATATTAGCTTTGGAAACTTCTGCAGCATTTTTGAGAAAACTTTAAATGTAATGAGAATAAACGCGTCCTGTAGTGTGAAGCGTGTTAATATTTCCACACTTGTTCAATGCATTCTGAATTAGCATGTCATCAGGTGTTAACAGTACATCACCTGAGGGAAAACTATTAAGACAAACGTCTGGCCGAGGTGATGTTCCATTATTGTGTCGACCCTGACATTATTTAAAAGCAAAACCATTCATAATCTCTGCATGTGCCTCTCATCTTTATTTCATCTTCTCTGATGAATGTTGGACACCGGTAACCATTGACTTACCATTTCCTACCAACTTTCTTCAAAGCATCTTCTTTTGTGTTCAACAGAAGAAAAAAAACAGGCCTGTTATAAAATGACTAATGAGCGAGTAACTGATGTTTGTTAATCAAAATCAATGAATGACTGAATCAGCAGTGTGTGTGGTCTTGTTCTGCATCATCAGTGTGGTCTGCTGTACTGTGTGTCTCCAGCTCCCTCTGCTGGCCGTGAACAGAAATCAACGCACGTCTTCACACACTTCAGACGTTTCTTCAGAACTTCAGCAGATCACTCTTCATGTTTCCTCACATCCAGCTTCTTATCAGGCTGATAAATGAATATTCACATCCTCATCACCAACGACTCGCATTACTCGCATATCTAGAGCTTAGTGAAGCAATAACACATCCTACAGAAACGTGGCTTGAGTTACAGGTTATGGATATGAACAGCTACACATTACCTTTACTGATAAGAGCTGTAATATAGCGGATAAGCCTGAACTGAGGTGTACTCAGGAAATAAACACAGGTAAAATAAGAGTTTGTGTGTGTAATTAGATGATGGAGAGACTCTGAGAATGCAGATACTGTACAGACATGTGTCTGGATATGATTATACAGTATAGAGAGAAAACAGAACAACTCAACATCGCAACGTCAGATTTATCCAGTACCGTGCAGCACTACTGTGTCCAATGTGGAAACCCCTGTGTGCAATATACATCTGTGTGTACATTTGGAGACTTTAATAACAAACTCAATTTAAAAAACACATCAACAGTGATTAATAACACATGAGATAACAAGAAAACAGTTCATCAATCCGTATGGGCGACATGGTGGCCTCACAGCAAGAAGGTCTCAGGTTTGAGTCTCAGCTGGGTCAGTTGGTGTTTCTGTGTGGAGTTTGCATGTTCTCCCCATGTTGGTGTGGGTTTTCTCCGGGTGCTCCGGTTTCAGTCCAAACACATGCGCTATAGGGGAACTGATCAACTACACTGGCTGTAGTGTATGGGTGTGTGTGAATGAGTGTTTCCCAGTGCGGGTTTGCAGCTGGAAGGACATCTGCTGTGTAAAACATATGTTGGAATAGTTAGCGGTTCATTCTACTGTGGCAATCTCTGATGAATAAAGAGGCCAAGTCAAAGGAAAATTAATAAATGAATGAATAAAAAAAACTCATGATGAGGAGTTTGATGATCATTTGCTAAAAATAAAGACATTAATCAGAACCGAACCGTTTAATTGATTAAAAGCTGCACAGAGAATACATTTGTGCTGCCTCATGTTTGATGTCAGTAAGATTTAACATTAAAACCAGTCTAATATCATTTATTAAGTATGATAAAAGTGACAAGTAAAGCAAAGGAGAGGTTGAAGATTGTGTTAATCTGTAAGCTGCTGTATGTTCCCCGTTGGTGCCCTCCAAAGGCCAGGGAGAGAGTGCAGTGACAGCAGACTAGGCCTCACGGTGTTGGAACTAAACTGTGCAGAGCTGTGGCCCTCCAGGAATTGAGTTTAACAGCCCTGATCTCCAGCATCACAAACAGGGAAAGCAAAACAACAACAACTCAACCCAGACAGGCCGAAATCAGTATTAACACCTCCTCCTGCCCCCTCTCTCTCCACCTGCTCATTTACAATCACATGAAGCTGAATTAAAGAGACTTACAGTGTGGCGAGCAGCATGGCTGTACTCCAGGCGTGACCAACCCTGTCCCTTCCTGCAGATTTCAGTTGCAGCCCACATCAAACACACCTGCCTGTCAGTATCAAGCGCTGTTCAGGTCATCATTCATTGGTTCAGGTGTGTCTAATCAGGGTTGCAGGAAGGTCGATCTCCAGGAGCAGGGTTGAGCATCACTGCTGTAGTCTGTGTTTGTTGTGGTGTTTCCCTCAGGTCCGGTGTGAGTTTGTCCCTCCACTGATCACCTTCCGCAGCAGGTCAGAGCTCCGCCCACTGTAATCAGCTGCCTCTTGTGATTGGCTGGGCGAGGGCTGGATTACGGAAGGTGGAGGTATAAACAGCTGCACAAATCAAGCCGTCTAAGCTTATTTACAGGGCAGCTATGATGAAAACCATCTTCTGTGAGCTGTTTGGACAGAGCTGTGTGCAGTGTGGTCTGTCCACAGCCATATTGGGCTGATATAATCACACTAAGTCTTTTTATAAGTTTCCTGATGGTATAAATCGGATTCAAATTCCTTCCATTTTGAGACCGACCGTATGTAGAAGCTAACATGTACCAGTAGTAGCGTGTATAATCATATCAACAAGACTGGAGGAGAATGGCCAGACTGGTTCCAGCTGATAGCAATGGTAACTCAAATAAGCACTCGTTACAACCGAGCTCTGCAGAAGAGCATCTCTGAACACACAACACGGCCAACCTTAAGGCGGATGGGCTACTGCAGCAGAAGAGCACACCGGGTGCCGCTCCTGTCAGCTAAGAACAGGAAACTGAGGCTACAATTCACACAGACTCACCAAAACTGGACAATAGAAGATTGGAGAAACGTTGCTGCTCTGATGAGTCTCCATTTCTGCTGACACATTCAGATGCTCGGCTCAACAACATGAAAGCATGGATCATCCTGCCTTGTATCAGCGGTTCAGGCTGGTGGTGGTGGTGTAATGGTGTGGGGGAGATTTTCTTTGGGTCCATTAGTACCAATTGAGCATCAACGCCACAGCCTACCTGAGTATTGCTGCTGACCATGTCCATCCCTTTATGAGCACAGTGTCTCCATCTTCTGATGGCTACTTCCAGCAGGATAACGCAGCATGTCATAAAGCTCAATCATCTCAGACTGCTGAACATGACGATGAGTTCACTGTACTCAAATGGCCTCCACAGTCACCAGAGCTCAATCCAATAGAGCAGCTTTGGGATGTGGTGGAACGGGAGATTGGCATCATGGATGTGCAGCCGACAAATCTGCAGCAACTGTGTGATGCTATCATGGAGCAAAATCTCTGAGGAATATTTCCAGTAACTTCTTAGATCGACGCCACGAACATGGTTGAGACAGTTCTAAAGGCAATAGGAGTCCACCACGGTACTAGTAAGGTGTACCTAATAAAGTGGCCGCTGAGTGTATATCTTACAAGCACTTGTGGTTTGCGGAGAGCTTTAACAGCTGTCAATAAGCAGGAGTCAGAGAGGGCTGAGTATTGGTTTATTCTAGCATTGAGTCCATCATGAGTTCAGATCCAACAGAGCAGAATGACAAGAAGAACATCTGACCCGCAGGCTGATCATCATCATAATCATCATAATCAAGCGCTTCATATATGCAGACCTGAACACACACACACACACACACACACACACAGCTTTATCCCTGCACGGTTCCTTCTTACAGTTTTACACTTCACTCTTCCCACCACACACATACAATATTTCACAGTGATCATTTCTCTGTACAAATGTCCCCACTCTGAATACATTAGAACACACACACACACACACCTTATCCTACACTGTGGTGTACTTTATTATTCCTCTGAAGACTGTCTGGTGCATCATTATTATTATACAATCAACATTTGACAAGCGCTGCTGTACATCTTTACCATAGACAGATCTGGGGGATCAACACATGCTGAAGATGAGGATCTGTGCGCGGAAACACACACACACACACACACACACACACACACACACACACACACACACACACACACACACACACACACACACACACTTATTAATGTTCAGGACAGCAGGCGGATTTGCATATAAAGCTGCTAAAACACTCCATTCTGCACCACACACAGATTTGCATATGATTTATTAAATAAAGAGATGCGATGCTGCGCGCGCGCGCACACACACGCGCACACACACACACACACACACACACACATTCTTAAAAACACATTTCCTCACACAAACAAACAGTGACACTCAAACATGTTTATACACATAAACATACACACACACACACACACACACACACACACACACACACACACACACACACAGAGAGATGAAGAGTGATAGAGAGTGAGCTGCTTTACACACACACTCCTGAAAATGGCTTTGAAATGAGTTGATTCTTATTGCACGGATGTTCTGGGAGTGAAAGGCAAGCGTGTCCTCCTCGAACAGTCGTGTGTGTGTGTGTGTGTGTGTGTGTGTGTGTGTGTGTGTGTGTGTGTGTGTGTGTGTGTGTGTGTGTGTGTGTGTGAGACCAGCGCTCCCGTGTCAGACCCTGTGCCCTGGTTTGCTCTGGATCTTCGCACTCTCAGGTCAGCGGGCAGTGATGCGTGGACGCCACAGGACTCCGTTACCCAGAATGCCGTTCTCCATCAGTCCACATACATGGGAGAGCCGGGGGACGCCGGCATCTGGTCCAGGATCCGGCACACGTATCGGGCCACGTCCACCAGACGCTCCTCGTACATCAGGATAAACGGATGCTTCTGCGGGAGGAACACAGCAGCATCAGCAGACAGATCACACACACACACACACACACACACACACACGGGGAGTCAATCTGAACAGTGCACAGGGGAATAACTGATGTCTGAACATCACTAACACAGACGGATGCAGTGTGGCGTACCAGCAGCTCTCTGTACTTTGGCCTCTTTGACTCGTCCTTCGTAAGGCTGGAAGATAGAAAACACACACACACACACACACACACACACACACACACATAATTAAACATTGTACATGACCAAACACATCATATATTATCAAACACACAACATCTAAGATGATCAAACACACGTCACATGACCAAACACACACACACACACATCACTTGATCAAACAAGCATGACAAAAACACACACACACACACATGAACATATAAGGTCTGTCATGTCTCATGATCCCACACACACACACACACACACACACACACTGACCATAGGTTGACGAACTGGATGAACTTGTGTGAGAACTGTCGGTCCTCAGAGCTGCAGAGCTGCGGCGGCTCCCCCTTCACCACCTGCGTCAGCTGATCAAACACACTGTTCCAGCGCGGGTACGGGAAGCGGCCCGTGGCCAGCTCATACTGAAACACACACACACACACACAGCTCAGCGGGAGTCTACAGATGTGTGTAAGAAGAAACACACACACACGCACACGCACACGCACACACGCTCACCAGTGTGATTCCCAAACTCCAGACGTCTGAGCGCACATCGTAGCCCTGTCTGGAGGCGCTGGGGTCGATGCGTTCAGGCTGTCAAACACACACACACACACACACATACACACACACACACACACACGTGTAAAACACATGCTGGAATGGTTGGCGGTTCATTCCGCTGTGGCAAGCCCTGATGAATAAGGGCACTAAGTTAAAAAGAAAATGGATAAATGACTAGTCTTTGTGAATATATCTATCAATATTTTGCACAGGTGAATTTGCTTTTAAGCGTGTGGGTTTGGCTTCACATCTGTACATGGTGTGTTCTGCAGGAGTTATGATTGAGAGCTGTCTGACTCCATACTGAGCTGTTTAATAAGCGTCACTCACAGCCATGTAGGGTCTGCAGCCGGCGTCTCTGGTCTTGGCGATGGAGTCCACCAGCTGCCCGCTGATGCCGAAATCACACAGCTTAATGTTGCCGTTTCTGTCCAGGAGAATATTGGAGGGCTTGATGTCTGAAAAACACCAGCATGAAGAACAACTCCAGCACAAACACCCATTTAAAGGACACCTATCATGCAGAAATAGCTTCTATGCGGGGTTTAACCCCAGCAGTGTGTGTGTGTGTGTGTGTGTGTGTGTGTCAGCAGTGTGTGCATGAGCAGTGTGTGTGTGTCTCCAGCAGCCTCTAATGCTCAGCAGTACTGAACTGTGTTTGTTCTAATCAGACTTGATGAATGAAGCACTGTGATTAACATTCTCCCTCTATACGTGTCATCAGAGGGGGAAAGCCCCGCCCACTAGTGCCCATCTCACTCTGAAATCTCTTCTGAAAAGAGCACAATCTCATTTGCATTTAAAGCGACAGTCACCAAAACGCCACAATTAGGAACAAAGCCTGAAAGGGTCAGTTTCAGAGAGCTGGAGAACATCATCTGTGTACTGTTATCAGCTGAAACACACACACACACACACACACACACACACACACACACACACACACACACACACACACACACACACACACACACACACACACACACACACAAGACACAGCAGGAACCTGTAGAATGAGCATAATAGGTCTCCTTTAATGGTGTAAACGCGTGTGAAAACTCACCTCTGTGGATTATTTTCAAGTTTTCCTTCAAGTGATTCAGTGCTTTCACAGTCTGCAGAACAACGGGTTTATATAATGATTATTTATTTTAATTATAATGATTAATCATTGCTAAGAACAATTTTACAATGTCACAACACAAATTAATCAAATAACTTTTAATATTAAGTCACTATTTAACAACAACAACAACCATTCAAAACACTATTATTGTTAAAGAGCATTATCTTTATTAAAATAAAAAATACTATTGTGTGTAATCATATAAAAGGCAATAACTAAAGAAATATTGTCATTAAGGTATTATTATTATAACGCAATGACCATAATACAAATCATGATCAAAATTAAAGTGTAAAAACAAAATACTGTACAGTTAAAGACAAAATTATTTACCATGATAATTCTGCCTTGAGCTGTTTTCTATTATGATTATGCACTTGTACAGACATATTATTATTACTACAATAATCAAGCTTTTGTAAAAAGACATCATTGACTTACTGCTAATGTAATTTTGCCTAATATTTCCTCTGGAATGACGTCATCTGACGCACAATATACATATTTGTAGAACTTGTCGAGGGAGGTAGCCATGAGCTCCATACAGATCCAGCAGTCGCCCTGAAAACACACACACACACACACACACACACACACACACACACATATATATAAATATATATCATTTAAATTGCTTAATTATCCAAAAAAAAAACAGTAGGAATTGCCAGGCTGTTTTATAAAGCGCTATACAGGCCTCTGGTGGTTAAACAATGACATTACACAGCATTAGCAAGGGACTCTCTCTATTTTAATTAGAAATACTGCACTAATTATAATTATACCAATTAAATATTGTGTGTGTGTGTGTGTGTGTGTCTGACCTCTCTGAAGAGAGCGCCGTAGAACTGTACGATGTATGGGCAGTCGGAGCTCCTCATCACCACGTCCAGATCCATCAGCAGCTGCTTCTGCTCTTTCTCATCCACCGTGGAGCGAATCCTCTGCGGGAAACAACACATTATAAACATAGGAGAAACCTAATTATATTGGAATTTTAAAGAAAATAATTAATAATAAATATGAAGATTAAAAATAACATTAAAAACAACAGAAAAGGTGCTGTATTGTGCACTGCGGCCACAAGGCGGCGCAGGTGAGCAGAACAGGCGAATCAAAACAGATCAAGAGTCACAGTTTTATTGAGCTCAAATGATTTTACTGCATACACTTACAAACAAACAACTGCGCTCAAATCAAAGATCACTTCCCTAACGTGCATGTAAGAAATAAGAAAATGACAGCACAAACATTACTGTCAAGCATTCTACAGAATATCCTACATTTATGAGAGATCTGCGCGGGGTCAACTCATTTCTGCCGTGACATTACCTTGATCCTGTGGTCTAGTGGATTATGTTATGAATGAGCCGACACAGAACTCTCTCAGTGAATATGGACCCGTGTTCCTCACCTTGACAGCCATGATCTGCCCGCTGGGTTTGTGCACCATGTTGTTGACGGATCCGTACGCTCCTCTCCCGATCTCCCCCAGATCCTTGAGGTCCTCGGCCGTGAAATCACAATGCTGTTCTGGAGAAATCTTCAGTTTGCCTGAAGACTCGATGCTGTGTGTCCGCAACCGCTCTCTGAAAGACAAGAGGCACGCTTGGTTTGAGGCAACGCCCACCTGCTATACAGCGCAATAGCTCCACCCACTCGCCATACGGAGCAATAGCCCCACCTACCTGTCATACAGGCCAATAGCTCCACCCACCTGCCATACAGAGCAATAGCTCCACCCACCTGTCATACAGGCCAATAGCTCCACCCACCTGTCATACAGAGCAATAGCTCCACCCACTCACCATACAGAGCAATAGCTCCACCCACCTGCCATACAGGCCAATAGCACCACCCACCTGCCATACGGAGCAATAGCTCCAGACACAGCACTTACAGAGCATGTGCGTGTATATAAACACACACACACACACACGAATGTGCATACATACACGTGTATGCATGCATGTGTGTATATATGTATGTCTGTGCAGGTGTGTGTGTATAAATGTGCATGTATGTATGCGTGTGTTTGTATACATATCTGTGTATATGTATGCATTTCATGTGTGCATGTACATATGTGTATGTATACATGCATGTTTATGTGTGTGTGTGTGTGTATGTGTGTCTCACATGTGTGGGTTCTGGAAGGCCGGTGCAGTGCTGGTGATGGGCAGACGCGCCGCCGGCTTCACTGGCGGATTGGCAAAGTTCAGCTTCAGCGCTTTGCGTTTGACTGCGAAAGAAAAACACCAACATCAGAGCGTTATCGAGACGTCGCTCGTGCTGTTGCGCATTTAAAAAACAGTAAATCAGCTCAACACAAAAACACAAAACAGGAATCAATGAATATGGGAATAAAACTGATGATGATAATAAATAAAACGATGATTCCACTGACTGAAAACAACCCAATCATGCAGCCTTTAAAGTGAAGAGACTGAAGATTTTATCCCCATATACTGTATTACCACCATATTACCCTGCCGAAAAGAGGACTTAAACAGATATAATAACCAAAACACAGCTGGAGTATTACTGTACTGAATAAAAACACAATTTTCATCCTAATAATGGAACAATATTGACCACTTCACAATAAAGTCTTGTTGGTAAATGTGAGTTAAAGTGTTCAGATGAACTGAGAAAGCCCAGATTACAGCTATATCCAGCTCATCATGTGTCCAACCTCTTCTACAAGATCTTCAGCTGTTAGTTATGCTGGTTAGTTCACCCTAAACCTACCGTACCTACTGCATTTACCAACTAATTATTTTCAAAATGATTAATTTCAAACACAATAACGCAATAATAAAACACAAATAAAACAAAAGAGGCGGAAAAACAGACAGAACAAAACAATATTGATTTAAAAAATCTCAGTTTTGCTCCATAATTACAGACATTCAGAACATTTATTGGCTATAAACTGATCTGAATGTGTCTAAATGAGATCTTCAGCATGAATATATGTATTTCTCAGATTACAGATGTATTATTGTATTGATCAGAGTGTTATTTGCTGGAGGACACCCACAGAAGGAGAATAACGGCACAGAGAAGCCAGCTTACTTTGGGTTACTCCAGACAGATTGATCTGAAACCCTGAAGAAATAAAAACACATGATGAAAAACACAGATGAGGATGATGATGATGATGATTATGATGAAGATGATGATGATGATGATAAAGGTGTGAATAAGAGCATCCTGTGAGCCGTTTACCTGTTTCATTCTGACAGCGCCAGCAGGAGTTTGAATCTGAAGAAGAGGAAAATAAACACACAAAATGATCAACACATCAGAGCGGTCAGACGGGATTAACATTGCCAACACACACACACACACACACACACACACAGACAGACTCAGACAAACACACACTCATGCAGACAAACACACAGATAACTATACACACACACATAGACAAACAAAAACAAACGTAAACAAACCGACAGACAGGCGCACACACACAAACATAAACAAAGAGACCGACACAGACACAAACAAACACACACACACATACAGACAAACACACATATGGACAAACAAAAATAAACGTACACCGATAGACAGACTAATACAGAAACACACGTACACACTCACGCAGACAAACACACACAGAAACACAGTGACACACACACACATAAACATCACATACACACACACACACACATACATACATACATACATAATAACAGTGATACAAACACGTACATCATCAGACAAAAATAAACAAACACACACACCTCCATACTCCAATATATAGACACAAATACAGTGACCATCACACAAACAAACATACTCATGCAGACACACAGAGAGAGAGAATAACACACACACACAAACAATCACACACACGTACACACGTACAAGTACACGTACACACACACACACACACACACAGCTGTACACACGGGCCTCAGTGGATCTGTGACTCTTTAATGAAGGCCTCGCGGGATCAAAACAATGCCCGCACTGCGCTATAAACACCGGATCTGCGACACCAGGAAAGACCAGGCCTCCGGCCCGAATACAGGACTCTTACCCTGAGCACCGATGGAGCCGAGTCGCGGTGAGAGTCCCGCTGGTCCCGCAGTACCGCCGCCACCGCACGAAGAGCCAGAGTCACTGCTGGGAGCCGCCATTGTGGATCTGCGGAGTCCGCCTTCACGCGCTCGATTCTCCGCCACTGTTTCTGACGCACACGCGACTCTACTGGAACGGCCGGAGCAGCGGTGCGCTCCCCATCCGCCCGCGGTGATCGACGCTTCAGAGGCGGACAGCAGTTTCTGGAGGAGTCGCGGAGGTTGCCAGGTGCGCCAGAACTCCCGATAAGCAGCGGTGCGCATGCGCAGAGCCGGACACATGCGCATGACAAATCATCACACATCTGAGGCGAAGTGTGCACTGTTGCGTCATAAATATTCTAATTATGTCGGTTATTTCCCACTAATTCACTTTCTGTTGGTATATCTTCAGTTCTTATATTAAGCTTTTATTTAATTTGTTTTAAGATCATATATCATATTACTGTGTGCATTTATTGTTTTATATTTCTCATTTTCCTTTGATTTATTTGGTTAAGTTTTAAGTTTTTTGGCATTTTATTATTTTGTAAGTACATGTATTTTTTTACTAATCTTAATCATCATTTACTAATTTTATTTAACGTTACTATTAATTTTTCGTTCATTCGTTACTCAGAATTTATAAGTAAATGGAAAAAAATAAAGTTGAAAGTAAATTAAAAATGATACTGAAGTTCAGGTTTTTATGTAGTGTTCTCTGCGCATGGTTAATAACTGTATCGTCCGCTCATGAATATGTTAATGACTTTATTGCTGGGTAATTACCGTGTTCTCCACTCATGAATATGGGATGTTGACTGTGTCCTCGGCTCATGAATATGCATCATCAAATACACAAATCAACACAGACTGTACTGTCCAGTCATGGAAATGATAAGCTGTTTGCTCTTCTTATGTAAATGACATTAATGTCTGCTCATGAGGATTATTATCATGATGGTTGTATTCTTCACTTAAATATGTCAATGTCCCTTCACGACTGTGTGATGAGTACTGTGTTCTCCATTCTCCGCTCATGAATATGGGATGATGACTGTGTTCTGTGCTAATGAATATGTAAATGTCCACCAATGAATATGTGACGTTGACTGTCTGCTCATGAGGATTATTATCATGATGATTGTATTCTGTCCACTCATGAATATGTGATGATGACTGTGTTCTGAGCTAATGAATATGTAAATGTACGCTGATGAATATGTGACATTGACTGTATTGTCCGCTCATGAATATACGATAACTGTATTGTCCGCTCATGAATATACGATGACTGTATTGTCCGCTCATGAATATGTAATAGTCAGGTCTTCCACTCGTCCTCTGCCCTTCATTACCATGCGGTCCTCATAAAGGTATGCGGTGGCGAAGGCGTGGCTATGGGGCGGAGTCTCGATCACTCCCTCCAGTGTGATGTGCTGAGCGCCGCTGGAGTCGGTGCAGCGTCCGCCATCGTGATCGTGTCCAGCGATGAAGCACAACACACTCTGGTGCGACCGCAGAACTGACAGCACAGCCTCGTGATTCCAGGCCAGACAGATGGGGTCAGCGGCGCACGGGTGCACCGGAAGATGGCCTGCGCGCACACACAAACACACACACACACACACACTACGGTTATTATCGGTTTGCATTTTTATTTTAATACAATTTGTGAATTTCCTGCACATAAACACACACACACACACACACACACACACTTACTGAAGATGAGCACGCGCTCCTGCTTGTGGTCAGAGAGCGTCAACACTGCGTCCAGCCACTGCAGCTGCTGCTCACTGAAGCCCCCGTTAAACTTCACAAACCTCTGCTCCAGACCCACACTCACTGCAGGAGACACACACACACACACACACACACACACACATCAGTGCAAACATATATATCAGGACCCAAATTTGTATGATGACATGGGTATTACACAGATAATACAAGGAGAAGGTGACTTAAGAGGACAAACCTGTGTGTGTGAGTGTGTGTGTGTGTGTGTGTGTGCGTGTGTACCTGGCAGCTGGTTGAGGTCCTGCAGGTTGTGGTTGTGTTGTGTTAGTATCCTCCAGGAGTGTGTGTGTGTGTGTGTGTGTGTGTGTGTGTGTGTGTGTGTGTGTGTGTGTGTGTGCGTGTGTGTGTGTACCTGGCGGCTGGTTGAGGTCCTGCAGGTTGTGGTTGTGTTGTGTTAGTATCCTCCAGGAGTGTGTGTGTGTGTGTGTGTGTGTACCTGGCGGCTGGTTGAGGTCCTGCAGGTTGTGGTTGTGTTGTGTTAGTATCCTCCAGGAGTGTGTGTGTGTGTGTGTGTGTGTGTGTGTACCTGGCGGCTGGTTGAGGTCCTGCAGGTTGTGGTTGTGTTGTGTTAGTATCCTCCAGGAGTGTGTGTGTGTGTGTGCGTGTGTGTGTGTGTGTGTACCTGGCGGCTGGTTGAGGTCCTGCAGGTTGTGGTTGTGTTGTGTTAGTATCCTCCAGGAGTGTGTGTGTTTCTCACTCTCCTCTTCTCGGCCAATCACGCTCAGGTCATACGCGTCCAGCAGCACGAACCGAAAGTTTGGGGCGGGGCTGAACTCGTAGGCGTAGATGTCGTCACCGATGAGGTCGCTTCCGGTGTCGGTCCCTGTCCTCTGCGCGCTGTTGAGCCGTGAGGAGAGCAGCGATGGCCGGCTGAAGTTGTAGAACTCGTGATTCCCCCACACGTGATGAACGTCCACCGAGCACGCGTCCAGCTCCGCCATCACCGTGTCCAGCGCGCGGTCTGAAGCGTCGCGCCGCCGGTTGTGTCCGTCAATAATGTCTCCGAGCTGCACGACGCACTGGACGCGCTCCCGCCGCCACTGCAGCACCGCGTCCCGCAGCAGATCCGCGCTGCCCCGGTAGTAGCGCCGCCGCGTCCGCAGGTAGTTCTCGCCGTCCTCGATGTCCGCGTACTGAACGTCGGCGATCAGACCGAACGTGAACACCGGATCCTCCATCGCCGGTAACGGCTGCCTCTAGATAACCTTGACCGGAAGTTAAGGAGAATTATCCATATGAATGATTGAATTGACTATTAAAATGTGTTTTATTAACGGATATTCCCACCACAACCCTAAACACACCCTCACGGCCATTTAAAAAGATTCATTACTGTTGTGTAGCGTCACAGATTATGCTAACAGTTAACGAATGCGCCAATATAAACTCAACTTTACCTCAGTCTGATCGGCGACGGTTAACGGCTAGTTAGCGTTGACCGTAAGTTAACGACAGTTATTTATTTAACGTTCATTCCAACCAACCACAACTCTAAATATAACTGCCACAGAAATGATGCTAGGCTATGTTTACAGACATGCTACATCTCTTCTAGACTTGTAGAATAATAACCCTCAGAGCCCGAGTGTGGAGCTTACCGGGAGTCTGTAGTGAAAACACCGCTCTCTCGGTCTCTCCAGCCGGTGTTTCCGCTGTCAGAGTCACGTGGTTTCGCCAGTTTCTGTTTCGAAACATTCAGGTGGATCCCGGTGAACCGGATCAGCTGATCTCAGAACAGCACAGACCGGTCAGCGGTTATTAAAGACACTTTTTTTCAGTGCTTTCTGCTGTAATTCGTCTTATTGTTGACCTCGAATACTTAAAATAATGCTGCTAAATGCTGAATATGTCTCAAAAACACCGCAAACCGTCTAAATATAGCCGGTTTCAGCGGATGGTTGGGTAATGTTTACTGGTATTCTGTAGTTAGAACTTTGTCATGTCTTATTATTTATGTTTTAGCAGGTTAATAACACTTAATCAAACTATCAACATGTCTTATTGTTTACTTTGCTTTATTTATTTTTTAAACAAATGTGCTTGATTTGAAAAGCCACAGGTCCTCCAAAAAGATCATTTACTCATTATCACTTTCCATATAAATATATAAGATATATAAAATGTATCGAATGATGTTGGGGTGGCGCAGTGGCCTGATCACCTCTCGGCAAGAAGGTCGCTGGTTTGAGCCTCAGCTGAGTCAGTTGGTGTTTCTGTGTGGAGTTTGCATGTTCTCCCCGTGTTGGTGTGGGTTTCCTCCGGGTGCTCCGGTTTCAGTCCAAACACATGCGCTATAGGGAAACTGAACAACTACACTAGCCGTAGCATATGTGTGTGAATGAGAGTGTATGGGTGTTTCCCAGTGATGGGTTGCAGCTGGAAGTGCATCCGCTTACAGCTGGATAAGTTGGCGGTTCATTCCGCTGTGGCATTTAATAAAAAAAGAACCATCAACCATCACAAAACACTACACTATCACATGCCAAAGCACAAACCCCATTAATAATAACTGTAGATGACTGTAAGCAGCAGAGGGCGACACTGATGCACATTCATTGCTTTAGTGTTTCAAACTCTATTATCATTACAACAGTGCGAGTTTTCTGAACACTCATTTGCCAAAGCAAAAGGGGAAATTATTTTATTCACAGAACGCAAATCAAACACTGATCATAGTGAAGAGGTCATCAGTGTGTTATTCAATTTCTTTTCAGCTCAGTCCCTTTATTAATCAGGGGTCGCCACAGCGGAATCAACCGCCAACTTATCCAGCATAAGCTCTATGCAGCGGATGCCCTTCCAGCCTCAACCTAACACTGGAAAACACCCATACACACTTATTCACACACACACACTCATACACTACGGCCAGTGTAGTTGATCAGTTCCCCTATAGCGCATGTGTTTGGACTGTGGGGGAAACCGGAGCACCCGGAGGAAACCCACACCAACACGGGGAGAACATGCAAACTCCACACAGAAACACCAACTGACCCAGCCGAGACTCAAACCAGAGACCTTCATGCTGTGAGGCCACCATGTCTCCAAATTTGAGTGTTTTGAAGGGTTATTGTGAATAATAAAGGTTTCTGGTGTCAGTTAATGTGAACACTGTAAAATAAATGAGTCAAATTAACTTTATGAGTCATTGAACTGATATGATTTCCCAGAGATGGGTTGCAGCTGGAAGGGCATCCGCTGTGTAAAAACGTGCTGAATAAGTTGGCGGTTCATTCCGCTGTGGTAACTCCGGATTAATAAATGGACTAAGCCGATAAGAAAATGAATAAAAGATGAACTTATATGATTTGAAACATCTTGAGTAAGTTAGAACAAGATTAACTCAGCTTAATAAGTTACATGAACTAAAACATATGTGGTCATGACTAATTGATCATATATTGTTTTACAGTATAGAGTTTTTCATATATCAGACTGTTCTGTACATGCCTGCACTGTAAAAACACAAAGTTGACTCAAACTTTTAAGGCAGGGGTCACCATGTTCCTGGAGGGCCGGTGTCCTGCAGATTTTAGCTCCACCCTTATCAAACACACCTGAACAAGCTCTTACTAGGTATATGAAACATCCAGGCAGGTGTGTTGAGGCGAGTTGGTGCTAAGCCCTGCAGGGACACCGGCTCTCCAGGACCGAGATTGGTGACCCCTGATTTAAGGCAACAAACTTCAGGACATTTTTGAGTTTACTCAACTTAAATCGAGTCAAGAAAGTAATTGGGTTGACAGTTGAGTCAACTCAAAAATGTCCTAAAGTGTCCTAAAAGATTAAGTTGAATTAACTTTTTTTTTTTTTTTACCGTGTGACGTGTTTTGGACAGGGAAACTAAATCATGATAGCTTAATATAGTTGCTTTAAATCAGATTTTCTCTTGAACTCAGCTTGTTTTTCTGAGTTTTAGATAGTGAACTAAATCTGCACGTTCTTAAAAAATTAAACACTTGTCACTTGAGCTGTCTTGTAAGAATAATGTCACACAGTGGGTTGTTTTAACTCAGAAAATTAATACAAATTAATGAATGATCATTAGTTAGAGATATTGTGAAACTCAACATGATGAGTTGAAACAGAAACTTTTTAAGTGGACGTGACTCACATTTTCAAGGCAGCGGGTGAACTTGAGTTTATAAGTTTAATCAATGTGAAGTGTTTTACAGGAGCATTATTAATTATTATTATTGTTATGATGCAGTCTGTGTTCTAATGAGTTCCCAGTACTGGGTTGCAGCTGGAAGGGTATCCGCTGTGTTAAACATTTGCTGGAATAGTTGGTGGGTCATTCCGCTGTGGCAACCCTTGATTAATAAAGGGAGTGGGCTTAAGGTAAAAGAATGAAAGAATGTTCTCATAAGTGATTATTTTATACGTTAAATAACTGTTCATAGTCTTTGTATGATTGATCTGCTCTGGGCTGAACATGTAGCGCTGCTCTATCAGGGTTTTAGTTTAATAAATCAGCGGGTTTATTTGACTGCAGTGTGTGTCCATATCTGACCTGCAGAATGCCTGAAGTGTCGCAGTGTCTGTCTGTGATCTCCTCTATTAGATCATCCTGATGTGGAGAAACTGAGCAGACTTTACTGAATGAGCCAATCTGTGTGTGTGTGCGTGTGTGTGTGTGTGTGTGTGTGTGTGTGTGTGTGTGTGTGTGTGTGTGTGTGTGTGTGTGACAGAGAGAGAGTGTGTGTGAGAGTGAGTAACAGAAAGTGTGTGTGTGTTTTGTGAGAAAGAAAATTATTAAATGAGTAGGCGAATGTGTGTGTGTGTGTGTGTGTGATGTGTGTGGGTGTGTCCTCCGAGAGACTCATTCAGTGTGTCGCGCGCTTCTCTCGCACGCGCTCTCTCCGGCGGAGCCCAAAATAAAGTTTGGGCAGTTTTCAGTGGAGTTAGTAGAGTTATCAGAGAACGTATATGTGTGAGAGAGTGTTTAAGTGTGTGTGTGTGTGCGCGCGAGAGAGAGAGAAAGAGAGCGTTTGAATAAGCGAGTGTGTGCATTTTTAAAATTATTAATAGGCTACATAAGCGAGTGTGTATGTGATGATATGAGTGTGTGTGATGGTATGAGTGGATGAGTGTGTGCTATGATGATGTGAGTGGGTGTGTCCTCGGAAATTGAGGGTGTCGCGCGCATCTCACGCACGCACGCGCGCGCTCGCTTAGTTCAGAGACGCGCAAACTCCGGCGGAGCCCAGAATAAAGTTTGAGGAGTTTTCAGAAGAGTTAGATGAGTTTCCAGTGGAGTTAGCAGAGCTATCAGAGGAATTATCCGAGGAGTTGTTAGTGGAGTTAACAGTTTTCTGTGGAGTTTTCATCACCCGTGGATCTCCCCGAGGATGTCCGGCTCGTTCTGCCGCAGTCTGTACGCCTTCACCGGGGAGCAGCACCGGGAGGGTCTCAGCTTCCAGCCCGGGGAGCTGATCCTCATCACACAGGCTCCCGAAGGAGGATGGTGGGAAGGAGAGAAGGACGGAGCCCGGGGCTGGTTCCCGTCCACATACGTGCAGATGGAGGTAAATAAATGCTCTTTATCATCACCGAGCACGAGTCCAGTAACTTACAGTAGCCCGACTATACACATCTTACACACACATTACTATGAATGTGTATGTAATACACTATACACATTATGAGTGCTGTACGAGGGGCTCAGGACACTCTTAAAGGGGCAGTTCACACACAAACATCAAAATGTACTTATTTACTCTCAGTCACCATTGAGCTGGGTTTATAATCGCACATTCTTTCAGTGACAACTTTATTTTGTTTATCACGCCACTTCAAAACAACTGTTTAATTGACTGTAACCAGTGCTGTATGTATAAATGTGCTGTATTCTGATAGTAATTAGCTGCTGATGTGATTACTCTATTTATAATTAGCAAAGCCTTTCTGAATTTAGCTATAGTAATAAACAATGTTAGAATGTGTGAATACAAAACCAACTCTACCAATTATTCCAACTCTAAATAGTGAAATCACACTAGCAGTCAATGACTATCCAAGTACAACACTGTTTACAGTGAATTAAACAGTGCTCATGTTGTTTTGATGTCATAATTACATGCGATTTCAGACTCAATATTTAAAGTAACTTCACTTCAGTTTCAGGACACTCTTAAAGGGCCAGTTACACGAATATTAATATTTACTCGTTTGCTCTCAGTTGAGTGGTTTGTTTCAAAACAAACTCAAAATAATATACTTCTGAAGAAAGCTGGAAGTCAATAGGGATTTTAAAATATATATTACTTTGTGTTTAACAGGGTTATAACAATTGAAAGGAGAGTAGATGATTAATTAATTTCTTTTTGGAGTGTCCCTTTAAGAAGTGGAAGCATTTGTCAGTTGTTTCAGAATGATGACATGTTTCCATCTGAAACTGAATGTTGAGTGAGGGACGGGGATTTATTACTGACTAAATTATTGTATTTTGGGGGGCGAATTATACATTTCAAGCCATCTGCAATTTAACAAACAGGTTCTGAATGTTTCCCTCATGTTGTTCATCTGATAGCAGCTCTTCCTCATTCCTCAGGTAGATCTGAATCAAAATCCAGCCTCATGCACTGATGATAAAGTGCTCAGACATGCTGAAGTAGATGCGGATCGGCTGTTCATCGCCTCTTTTTATTCATTTTATTTAATTATTATGAAATATGTACAAACTAGGTGACACGGTGGCTCAGTGGTTATCACTGTGGCCTCACAGCAAGAAGGTCGCTGGTTCGAGTCCCGACTGGCTCAGTTGGTGTTTCTGTGTGGAGTTTGCATGTTCTCCCCGTGTTGGCGTGGTCCAAACACATGCGCTATAGGGGGATTGATCAACTACACTAGTCGTAGTGTATTAGTGTGTGTGGGTGTGTGAAAGGGCATCAGCTGTGTAAAACACGTGCTGAAATAGTTGGCGGTTCATTCCACTGTAGCGACTCCTGATGAATAAAGGGACTAAGCCGAAGGAAAATGAATGAATGAATGTCATCATGTGATCAGCCTGATACACAATATTAATAATAAAACACATTTGTTTCACATATCGCCCTTAGTGGAGTGCTTAAAGGCACAGTTCACCCCTAAGGAATTTTAGTTGAACACAAAAGAAGATATTTTGAAGAATGTTGGGGGGAAAACAGCAATTTTTGTGTATGTTTACGCTAGAGAGTTCAGGAAGTTCTCAGGTGAACTGTGCCTTTAAGGCAAAAATAATGTTAAAACATGAACACATTAGCTGTTTGGCTTTACAGTTACCAACATAATAAAATTAGTTACGCAACAGTCATTAGAATTAAAACTGTGTAATGACACTAATCCTAACATCATAGTGTGTGTTATTATTACATATTACTCAGAACATGAACGTTCAGTTGCATCACACATCATCAGACATGAAACGTCACATGCACCATTGATTAAATTGATTTAATACACACTTATTTCTTTTGCAGCTATATTTAGGCTTATATATACATGTGCTATAAAAGAACTGATGATAATAACAAGTTCAAAACTATAAATAATGCATCACAAGGACGGTTTAACTTCATTTTACAAGTAAGGGTGATTTTTGAGGTTTGTTTTCCGTAGAAATCCACTATATTGAGAGCAGACCTGCATGTTTTCATTCTCCTTTTCTTTGTAAAGTGTGTGTACTGAAAGCTGGAGAGGACAAACACAGAGCTTTGAGTCGCAGTGACAATCTCTGCAAACGAGATTACAGAATGACTGATCATAATTGAGAATGGAAATGAGAAGCAGAATCAAATATCCTGTGTGTGTGTGTGTGTGTGTGTGTGTGTGTGTGTGTGTGTGTGTGCGTGTGTGTGTGTGTGTGTGTGTTCACGAGCCTGAAGTTCAGAGGGAAACTGTACACAACTGCTCTGTTATCAGCCGCAGACACACACACTGAGGGTCATTGTTGGAGAGCTGAGTCTGTGGGAGAAACACTGAGTTTTACATCTGAGAAACGAGCAGAAGCAGAGCCATTCCTGAGCAGCGCACACTGACACCATAATCTACACCACAACTGCAACACACACAACTACAATATGAACAACTGCAACACACACAACTACAATATGAACAACTGCAACACACACAAGAACAAGTAACACTACTAGACTCACAACAATGACAACACTGCTCAAAATAACACTCACAGCAACAACAACAACTACCAGCAGCACAGCCCTCCAACAATAACAACACTGCACAA